TGCAGTAAGTGCTGGATTTTGCACTTCAATAAGTTAGATAAGGACATTGCATGTGTTTGAGTGAGACAAAAGATATTGTATAAAATTCATTTAGAGATACCACTGACATCGAAGAGTCTGTTTTATCGACCTCGTGCAAATTTTTTCGACCTTCCAGCATCGCCTTAAGTACTATTGATAAAAAATTAAATCTCTCTTTAAAATCTCCAATTGTACTCGTAAATATCATTTCTTTTAATAAATAGGGTACACAATTATTATACACAATTATTTGTGTAAAAAAATAAATAAATAAGTGTATATTGTTTTGTCATCAAATCTATCACTATCGAATTTGTCCTCAGTGAATACAATTATTTGTATATATTTGTCATTTATAACTGAAATTGAAAATAAAAATTATTCATACGTTATGTGTAATTATTAACCGTTCTTTACAATTTATTGAATTGTCATGCTAAACAATTACTGACATAGTAATTGTTTCCATGCATTGGCACAAACTCGAGATGAGCGTGTTACGATTCATAATTCTATTCAATGCAAATTGATTTCAGTTTTTTTTTATAAATAAAACTGCAATGTCACACAAGAAACAAATTAAGTACAATGTAAAACAAGAGAATTTTAAATATCAAGAAAATATGATCAAAATAAATTATATGTTTCTTTAAGAATAAATATCATTTAACAGAATTCCAATAAGTAGATGTGAAGTCAGATCAAGAAAATGAAATGTCAAAAATATGTCTAAGGATTTATATGTAATTTTATTAGATTTAAATTAGAATTTGATAAGATTTTATATTCTAAAACTTTTATATTAATGCTATCCTAAAATATAACAAAATATAACAAAAGAGTGAAGCATGAAATACGCGTTATCATTTAAAATACATATTTTTGTAGAAATACTTTATTGAGCATCGAGAACGCGAATCCGGATGTTCCAGAAACCGAGAGAGTGCCGATTTATAATTACGTGTCGGCATGCCAAAATCCCATCACCTGGAGAAGATTCATGAAAATAAATGAAATATATGGCATGCAGGTACCAAGCACGCACGTTTTTTGGTACTACTTCTTCTTCCTAAACAAACATAAACTGGTGCACAATTTCTGCGTGATATTTTTGCACATAATACCCGCTATCGTAACCGACATTCTGCTCGTACTCACCGGTCGAAAACCTATGTAAGAGATTTACTATAGTTTTGCTTAAAGGCACAATAAAACGTTATTACGAATATCCAACGAGATTTACTGAAGTTGTAAATTTTCAGGCTACTGAATGCGTACAAGAAGATACACAAGTTCAGCTCCGTGATATCGTACTTTTCGTCGAAAGAATGGCGATTCAGCAACGACGCCGTTGTAAAGCTCTGGAGTCGCGTGTCACTAGCCGACCGCCAGATTTTCAATTTTGACATAGATAATTTGAACTGGGAATCATATCTCAAGCACATGATACCCGGTCTGCGTCTGTACATAGCTAAAGATCCGCTAGAGACCATAGACAAGGGACGAGAGAAATATGAGAAGTGAGTAATTACTCAGGCCTGCAAATCGCTATTGCTTCTTTTGCATCGCGTTCATTGCGAATCTTTTCTTTCAGACTGAAGATCTTCCATTACACTCTGTTGACAGTTATCACAGCTTTACTAGTACTGGGCGTCATAAACTTAATAATTCGCGTGATGTCGTTCTCCTAATCTCCCAGAGCTCAGTTAAAAAAAAATATCTTTTTTGTTAATGAAACTAAATTGATGATAGTAAAAGAAAGATGATTAAGTCAAGACAAATGCTTCGTTTTCACATATTACCTTCCACGTTGTTGACCTTACACGCACGTTACATTCTTATTACAAAAGAATCAATATGTGCAGTTCTTTTATTATTCTTGCTTACATAAGTAATCGTTAATTATGTACCTAAAATTAAACGTCATGCTGTTTCTCGTCACCAAGAATACACAATTATTTTGTTATGTCTTCTTGTATATCGGGCAGTTTTGATAATAATACGTACAATATAAATAAACTGAATTCTTAATAATTTTAAAAACATAATATCTCATCTAAAACGGTAACATATTATTTAACTAGTCACTTTTCGTCGTCATATATTTCACGTCATAAACATTATGGATATTTTATTGTACTATATTCTTTCTTGTTCGTACAATTACTGTATTGTACAATTACTGATATTGTGTTCTAGATATTTAACATATTTATATATAATTATGATATATTCTATTCAAATAAAAAAAATACATATATACAATATTTTTTATTTTGTTTATTAAAAAACAAATTATTTTATTTACACATATAAATTTTGAAGATACCCAAGGGGAAATTGAATTATGATAAGGTACTGAGCCAGTACCAATTTCGGTCTACTGCATGAAATTCCACACATGGGTATAAAAAAACTATATTTTATGCTGTATTTAATAAATTTAATAATGTTTTACATATTATAATAAATATATTATGTATATTATAATAATATATTAAATATATATTTTATATTATAATAATATATTAAATATATATTTTATATTATAATAATATATTAAATATATATTTTATAATAAATAAAAATCGATTTACTGATTTCATTTATGAGAACGATCGCTAACAATGATGTTTATTTCCTAGCAATAATAATTTTTCCACAACACAATAATCAAGTCAAAAGAATATTATAAAAACACGTCCTTATCAATTGACCTTGTTTTAAATGACTTAAATGACGGTAACTTTTAAACCGGTTCTTTTTATAAAATGCATTACCGAAGCGAACATAACGTTATTACATATGTAAATAAAACTATATTACCAGCAATCATACATGCAAATCCGTGCATAGTAAATTCAATACATCATTTTAGTTTTTCGCTAAGTAATTAATTTCAAATCGGAATTATGTTGCAAGTCAAGTTACTTTAAAAATCTTTTGCAAATATCAATACAGGAGAAAAAACATATTTTCTGTAAATATTTTTTTCTCAAGTGCAGAAAATAAATGTTTTTCTTAAACATAGTGTTAATTAGTTCTCAGCATTTTCTTAGCGTATATTTATAATTTAGCATTTACTGCTAATTATATATTTAATTATATATTTAATTACACTTAGTTTTCAAAATTGTATTATCTTGTAAAGTATTATGAACGTGTAAAGTATTATGTACACGTGTATCTATTCTCTTTTTTTATTCTTTTGAAGATATATATAACTTCATTACAATTCTTGTATGATACTTGCGCATATTTAATAGCGTTACGTAAAACTATATAATAACGCCAAGAAACAAATTCACAGATGTGATATGAGATTTTTGATACATTTACAATTGTATATGATTTTCTGTGTAATTATAGGTTGTTATATGTCGTATAATGTTTCTACGTTGTGTACCGTAATTATTTCGATATTTGACGCAATAGTGACGGAGTATCTGAGTATTTTTAGAAATGACTTGTACCTCTATTAAGCGACAAAAATTATTCATACAGGATATGTACAATGCGTTAATAATTTAACTATTTCGGTATTTAACTTTTGTCAAGCGTTTTCGTACACGGCAAGTAATGTTAAGTAACATGCGACTGTCAAAGATCAATTGGGAACGTCATTGATTCCGAAAAGACGGAATTTAAATTCAGCATAATGCTATTAGTGGCTATTACGTGATTCTATTATGGATTTGAGAGAACTTGCTTTCCGAAGGCGTCATTTTCCACGAAATCTATCGTAACGATATCGAAACTTTTCAAATAATCATGGTACCTCTTTGCAATCAGTAATATGCTGTGTCATGCGGTAATGCAAAATTGCGTCTTAATGTATTATAATGATTATATATAAATATGGAAATATAAACCGCATCTATATGTTCAATGGCCTTAGCCTTGTTTGAAACCAAAACCTCCTTCGCGCGGATTTATTTTTGTTTTCTTATTTAGAAAATGTCTGTTTAAAATGATTCTTTAAAACTGTGAAGAAAACAATTATTAGAAAAAATATTTAATAAAATTTGAGAGTACACGAAACACGTTGATTTTGCACTTAACGTGACAAATATGTAACCAATTATGCAATGTTTTGCATAGCTTTTGCATGCTTTAAGCATTACGTATGAATCGTATGATATACGTAAACTATACACAATTTCGAAGAAGAATAACTCGAAGAAAATTTCCTAAATCTGATAACAAATTCGCATTCATTTTCATTGACATTAAGTCTAACGATACAGCAAATTTGAAATAAAGAATTTATAGCTCTTATTTATATTATATTCGAAACATATTTAAAATTTGTTTATACCTACAATTCAATATTGTTATTAATTATTAGATATAATTAATAATAATATATAGATCGAGATATAAGACTAATTGAATATTATTATTAAGTCATATAGTCGCGTTTTTGCTGAGAAACTCATTATCAGCTAAAACTATTCTGAGACGAGTTCAATAAATAAATTTGAGAGCGATTTAATATTTATATAACTTCATGATTTTTACATTCTGCATAACTTCACATTTGTAATCACGATTCAAGTGAGTAACTCAGATGACATTTGTCCTTGAGTTATAGCTTGAATTCTCTTTTTCGCGATTCAGTGGTCGAGTATTGAAAAAAAGATTCACGTATACGTATTAACAGACCTTGAAATTTGTATCAGTTGAATCTTGAGTAAAAAAAAATTGCGTATCCTTCAAGTGTTTGCAAAGAACTTGAGATGAGAATAACAGAGATTATTTAGTTGCAAAATTTATTCACAAATGGATTTTTCTGCGGAATATATAAACTGAATAGAAAATTATATGATAATTTTGACGAATATAGCATATACAATGAACCAGGGTTGTGCATCTACGCGTAAAATATAATACTTTATACGTTTACGTGTAGACAACGTAAACTATTGTAAAAGTGTCATCTATGTAGACAGTCAGTAGACTATATATTTATTCATTTAATAAATACATATAATTTAACATTTATGTAAAAAAAACTACCATTTCAGTAAGAAAAATTCTCTGGTTGCATTCTTAATCTTAATCTCGTAGTTAAATTAATGTTCAAAATACATCAAGAATATCCTAAAGATGTCGTGGTATCTTTAGTCTGTTCCTAGATACATTTATTTGGGCATTTCTACTATGGGTAGAGACTGTCTTGTAATTTAATTCTTTTATATTATATATATATTAGTGATACAATTTACAAAATTCCACATAGTTTACAAGTCTACATTGTCTACGTAGCAAAAAGACCTGTCTCTTATACACATCTC